AAGGAAAAGATACAAAATTATATATATACTCCAACTGCAGTGATATAAAAACTACATATGGAAAAAAGACTAGAAGGTCATATATATAACCTTTCCCCACCACGCAAAACAACTCTGATTCCTTTGGCTGCAATGATCATGTAACAGTCTTCTGTATCACAGCCATAGACCTAGACTAAACATCAGGCATACAATAGTAGTTTAACATTTTTAACTGTATTAAAATGTCTGTATTTACTTGCTTCATTTAAGGTATTGGACTTACAAGAGAGATACTCAATATACAACAGAACTAATGAATAGAAAGTATCTTCTGATGAAGAACCCATTACTGCCACACCATGAATAGCAAGGCTGGTTAACTGCAGACCGCTTAAATGGTTGAAAAGCACCAAAAGGTCTTTCTCAATCCACTACTTCCTTATTCCACTCCAAATATACTTCAGATTCTTCCTCAAGGCTCACAAGATGTTGACTACCGAGAAGTATTATTGTTACTCCCATATAATAATAATATACAACATTTTTGAAAAATAAAACACAAAAATATTTCTTATGTAGTTCAAATTCTGAAGAAAGAGCAACCAGAATTCTCCAAACTCAAACATGACCACAAAATGTTACGTACTCAACTTCTCAATACTGTGAAATCATATGACAACCTGAGAGATTCTAGACTATCACAGGCTGTAAACTGTGTCCTTTAATTCAGTTCCCATTTCTTGATATTTTCTTGCTTCTCAAATAGCAAGTAACTACAACCAAAATTTCCCCTTTTAACATAGGAAGCAGTCTTCAAAGCAGAACTTGGACTTTTACTGTGGCTACTTTTTAAAAGGGACATGTGCCCTAAAATATTTATAAGTCAGAATTGACAGTCTTTTAAAATTAAAGACTGTTACACTGCCAGAACATGTATAAGCACAGAAATTAGATACTATTATCATATGGCACTCAAAAAACAGCACTAACCAGAAAATCCATCCCTCCTCTACTGTAGGCATCCTCATCAGTAATTTCTGTGGCCTTATTTAAAACCACATATTAGGAACACTTAAAAATACATTTAAAATATTTTAAAAGTTAAAAAATAGGTTGGGTTACAGTAATTTTAACAAAAAGCACTACATATGCTTCAAAAAACAAAATAGAATCTTAAATAGTCCAGACACTGTTTCCTATTACACAAAAAAAAATCAACATACTATGACATACACCCATTTAAATGTTTTCATCCTTCAAAAAAACATATTCCCTGTCCTGGTTTTCCAATAGGAGAGGGGACTGATGATACTTAAAGATGACCTCCAGCCACCACCTTTTTGAAAAATAAGGGGCTTTGACACATAATTGGAGATTTGGGGGAAGAAAGCTAAAGAAGTATAATGAAAAAGTATGCAAACTATTTTCCCTCTAAAATATTTCTCAGATGTTTAAATGTGGTAAAGACTAGAAAGAAAAAATTAAGATATAATAAGATTTCACATCATATCCAGTGAAGACTGAGAGAAAAATAGAAGAGGAAAACAATCAGATGGAAAACAAAGTAAAACTCCAAGGTATCATAGAAGGGAGTAAGTCCCAAAGCATTCATAAAAGAAGGCTCCTTACAGCTTCAGCTCATGGACTGAGATTTAGCGTTAATTAGTTTTGGGCATCTGAATGGTCTCGGGGGAGGGTGGCTTGTTCCTCCCCGACCCCCGTAAGATTCTATTTGTTTGTTTGTTTGTTTGTTTAAAGATTTTATTTATTTTTAGAGAAAGGGGAAGGGAGGGAGAAAGGGAAAGAAACACTGGTTTCCTTTCCCATGCTCCCATCCAGGGACCTGACCTGCAATCCAGACATGTGCCCTCACTGGGAATCAAATGTGGACACTATTGGTTTGCAGGATGACGCCCAACCCACTGGGCCACACCAGCCAGAGTTATTTATTTATTTATTTATTTATTTATTTATTTATTTATTTTTAGAGGGAAGGGAAGAGAGGGAGAAAGAGAGGGAAAGAAACATTGATGCACAAGAAACATTCATTGGTTGCCTCTCGTACACTCCCCACAACCAGGGACCGAACAAACAACCCAGGTATGTGCCTGGACTGGGAATCAAACCAACAACCTTTTACTTTGCAGCAAGATGCCCAACCAACTGAGCCACCCCAGTCAGGGCTGAATGGTCCGTTATGATTAACCACAGCTATAACTTCTTTAATTATAATTTAGACACCAAAATTTATCTCAAAATGAGATATGAGACTCTCAGAGGGAGATATTAATAACAAAAATAATGTTTTCAGAACAAATGTAGTTCAACATTGTATCCTATACTTGGTTACTTGGTGAAGAATTTCCTCATCACTTCCCTAGAGAATTACCAGTATCAATTATTTTAAAAAGGTACCTTAAAATGAAAAGATACCTCATTTTTTTATTCTTTTTAATTTTTTTAGATTTTATTTATTTATATTTTTAGAGAGGGGAAGGGAGGAAGAAACAGAGAGAAACATCAATGTGCGGTTGCCTCTCATGTGGCCCCCACTGGGGACCTGGTCCACAATCCAGGCGTGTGCCCTGACTGGGAATTGAACCTGCGACCCTTTGGTTCACAGACTGCGCTCAATCCACTGAGCCACACCAGCAAGGGCAAGATACCTTATTTTTAAAACTCACTTTGAATTAAAATAGAAAACAGTAATCAGTACTTTTGAGAGAGACTAGAGACCACAGAACAAGACAATTCCAAAAAAGGTAGATGATTCACTGAACTGGGTAACAAATCTTAATGAAGAGACAACTATATGTTATTTATATTAACTAGAAAGGAACAGGAAAGTAAGTTTTTAAATTTTTAGTAATAGAAAAGATACAGTGTATTTTAAAAAATTAGTAATTCATTCCTTTTGGTTAGTTTTGTGGAAAAAAAACAGCAGTATCTCCTTTGAATTTAAATGAGATGTTTTTACAGACTTTAATATCAATAATGCAATTTAAAGTACAAGGTAATTCTTTTTTTAATAAATCCCTTATCATAGAATAAAATTAATTAATGCATAAAAGAATTCTAGGCAACGAGTGTCTTTATACTGGGTAATTTTAAAAAGTTCTTTATCTCAAACTTGGTACTCCTTTCAGAAATCAAGAGGAAAATTTAATAAATAAAATCATGGGAGGATGGTTCTGTTAACTGTGCCATTAGTGTTTGGTTCTAAAATACTAAATACCTGATATGAAAACATAATCAAGTTAGGATTAAAATATCTCCAATAGCTAATTCTTCTTCTTTAAATAGAAAATACTCAAGCTTTGGTATGTTTGGTAAACATACCAAAAGTTTAACTGCCACTAGATGAGTGGTACCCACAGTAATGTGACTCCAGGAATATATTTATTTGTCAGTGTATGAAGCTCTCTAAGACCTCACATTTCTATAGTAAAATGATATAAGTCATTTGGTGTATTCTGTGTTAACAAAGAAAGGGTATAGCAGTCAAGGTATCTATAAGCTTAAAAATACAACAATATGACACATGGCTTATTCTGTATCACTCTAGGTGTCTTCTGTTACCAAACATCCATCAGTTCCCTTCTATGACACCTGCTTAACAGCCAGCTGCCTGAGTTCTCTCTGAATTCTGGAATGCCTGAACTCCAGATTCACAGTGATTCTAGGCTCTTCCACTGTCCTAGAGGGAGCAGTCAGTTATCACACACACTGCATGCAAGCCTGGTAGTGAAGGTTATCCACCCTGCATGCCAGTCCCTCACCAGCAAGCCCGTATGTACACTTGGTGGGCGATGTGGGAAAGGGTAACTGCTGGCCATCTGTGGCTCCCTAAGATTCTGAAAGTACAGTGCTGAGATGAAAAGCTGGAGAGCACTCTGCCCACTTGCATCAAACCTGAAAACAGGCCCCCAAGTTTCTCCCCTAAGGTGTGGGTTTGGGGGGAGGGAGGTATGGGGAACATCTGTAATTGGGTCAACAATAAATAAAAAAAACAACTCTCCCTAATTTCTTTTTTCTAATTTTGACTTAATTAGGACCATTTTCATTAGTCCAAAAGGGGAAAACATTCTTGGGGTTTGAAATAGTAATTTTTTTATTTTTAATTTTTTAAAGATTTTATTTATACTTTGGAAAGAGAAGGGAGGGAGAAAACGAGTAATCAACGTGCGAGAGAAACAGCGATAGACTGCCTCTCCCAGCCTGCAACCCAGGCATGTGCCCTGACCAGGAATCAAACCAAGAACCTCTCAGTTCATAGACTGGCACTCAATCCACTGAGCCACACAGGCCAGGGCCAGTAATTGTTTTTAAGCCAAGAAAAATATATAAAATTACACTAAAATAAAATGACTCTGAAAAATGATCATCTAAATGCCCTCAGTTTTCCACTACAAAGGAACAAAAAAGAGAATTCAGTCATTTTTTACACATATTTCAAAGCTAGAGTTTCTCTTACATTTGTGAGCCCTAAAACAATAGAGAAACCAATGAAACTTTGTGTACTTGATCAAAATTAGAAGAAATGGGCTTGGCTGGGCAGCTCAGGTGGTTAGTGTCATCCCAATGCACCAGGGCTGTGGGTCTGATCCCCAGTCAGGGCATACACAAGATGCAACCAATAAATGCATCAGTAAGAGGAACAACAAATGTTTCTCATTCTATCTCTAAAATCAGTCAATTAAAAAAAAAAAGATCTGCATGCATACACCCCAGAATCCTGCATAGTGGATACAGCATAATGTTAACTACAAACAAAGGCTGAGAGCAAAATTGAAGAAAGTCTTACAGGTATTTTTTATTTAGTTGTTTCTGCAGGCCAGGGTGCCACGTGAAAACGGGAACAAAAAAGAACAGAACCTAGCTCCCAGGTCTCACTCTTGAGACTGGGATGACAATTCCAAGCATATATTTGGAACCCTAGTCAAATGTCAGGATGAGTCATTGCACTATTACAGCCCACTCTTTAATGTGTACTTATGAAGAGAGGTATTTTTACTTACTCTGGTCAGCATAGTTTTTTGCTTTCAGTTCAAGTTGTCTTGTTTGAGATTCTAAAGATTCCACTCGGGTCTGTAAATCCTTTTTTTCCTGTTCTTGAGAGTCTTCAAATTCAATGAATTTCTAATAAAAGAAATATTTATTATTTTCATCAGCAAAACGAAAATGTTTTAACATCAAATCCTGTGTTCTTGGTATCACAATTCAGCATTAACTACTCGAAAAGGTCTCAAAATCATAAATTTAGGTTGATTTTTTGTTTCTCTATAAAAATTAAGTTTTAAACCCTTCAAATAGAGAAGGAAAAGCTGACAAAATAATCTGTTTATGAATGTTTTCACTTCATATAATAGGCATGCAAAAGCAAATACATATTTGTATACCCTACCCTCAAAATATAAATCCATTTACTAGTATACCTGCATACCCATCTGTATTCAAGTTACAAATTTTTACATATTTTATACTTAACATGTACAACAAATAGAGAACCAAAGGATGATGAAATAGCAATAAATACTTGTTAAATGATTATTTGATTAATGGATAATCTTCTAGAGTACGTGAACCATAGAATTTAAATTCCTAAGAAAAAGCCCTGGCTAGTGTGGCTCAGTGGACTGAGTGCTGGCCTGCAAACCAAAGTGTCACTGGTTCAATTCCCAGTCAGGGCACCTGCCTGGGTTGCAGGTCAGGTCGCCAATAGGGGGTATGCAAGAGGCAACCACACATTGATGTTTCTCTCCCTCTCCTTCTCCCTCCCTTCTCCTCTATCTAAAAATAAATAAATAAAATCCTTTACAAATAAATAAATTCCTAAGAAAAAGAACATGTGCTAGAAATATCCCCACCAAATTTAATTTACTAAAACTGTTTTCATCAAGGAGATTATCATTGAATATAATTATCAAATCTCAATCTTCATCTTAATCAGCATCATTTGACAATTGATCACTCACTCCTTAAAATGTTTTTATTTTTTATTTTTTGCCTTGGTTGGTGTGGCTCAGTGGAATGAGTGCTGGTCTGTGAACCAAAGGGTTGCTGGTTTGATTCCCTACCTGGATTGAGGGCCAGGTCCCCTAGGGGGCATGCAAGAGGCAACCACACATTGATGTTTCTCTCCCTCTCTTTCTCCCTCCCTCCCACTCTCTCTAAAATAAATAAAATCTTAAAAACAAATGCCTTTCTCTTAAAAAAAATTTTTTTTAAATCTGGCTTCCATGACTTTTCCTTCTTTTCCATTATTTTACCGCTGCTCATTCTTGGTTTTCTTCGTTGATTTTTCCTCTTCTCCCCAAACTTCTTAACATTGACAAGCTCAGTTCTTGGACCACTTTTCCTCTTCGTTGTTTACTCTTATTTCCTTGTGACCTCATCTAGGTTCATGGCTTTAAATACTAACTACATGCTGACAACCTCCAAATTTCTAGGCCAATCTCTGGCCCAGTAATGAATTCCAGATTAGTATGTCCAAGTGTCTACTGACCTGCATTTGAATATCTAATAAGCATCTTAAACATGCCATATCAACACTCATTTCTCCTGGTCTTACCTAGCTCATTAAATCACTGTGGTCATTTGCTCAGGCCCAAAGCTGACTTTAGAGTCAGCTTTGATTTTTCTCTTCCTCTAACATCTCATCAGCAAATCTACCTTCAGATCCAACCACTTTTCCTCACCTCCACCCATAGCCTGGTCTGTGCCCACTCATTATTTACTTCCTAGATTAATTTGATAGTAATAGCCTCCTAACTGGTTTCCTTCCACCCTTGCCCCCTCTACAATGCATTCTCAATACAATAGTTAGAGTGACCCTTTAAAAAGTAACACAGATCAAATGAACAACAGCAAAACGTATAGCAGATCAGTTTACGCCTCTGCTCAAAATCGGATGATTGCTGACATTCTCGCGAACTCCTCATCATAGCCTTCAAGGAAGGACCAACACAAACTACCATCCCCTCACCTCTTTGAGGTCATCCTCGAGTACTCTCCCTCCTCCTCTTCCCCACTCCTCCACATACTGATACAACCCTACCTGCAGTTCCTCAGATGCTCCAAGCCTTTGCACTGGCTTCCTCTTCCTCCTGCCGGGAATTCTCTTCCTCCAGGTATCTAAATGGCTCACCCCCTCCTCACCTCAACATCTTTGTTCAAATCCCAGCCTTTTACAAAGACTTTCCTTGTCCATCGTATTTTAAACTGCATGACCACTCCCTAATTCCGTTTGTTTTTTCATCTATAGCACTTATCCTTATCAGAAACACTGTATTTTAGTAATTTATCGTATTTATTATCGGCCTTGTCTCACTAAAATATAGGCTCCATAAGGGCAGGGATTTTCGGTTTTGTTTGCTGTTGTAGACCCAGTACAAAGAATGATGGCGGCTCATAGCAGGTGCTCAAATGTTTGTTAAACGACAACAAAAAACTCAGAATGAAACACTGAAACCACATAGAAAAATGTAGAGTTCACAAAAAACCTTATATGTCACTAAATATACCTTAGTTTTAATATGAAAATTTTTTGTCCATCTGTCCTAAAACTTTTCAATCACTGCAGAAGTTGATTTTTGTCTATACACAATGTCTCCTCAGAGGAACTTCTCCTGTTTCGCCCTAGTTCTATTCAGTTCATAAAACTGGATCGGTGAGGCTCCATCTTCCTATGGGTGGGCCCAAGGCTTGAACACACTGGTCAGGGTCCTCCCTGGGACATCTGTCTGTTATTTGGGAAAATACCACATATCCCCTCTTCCTCTGGAATCACAAACTCTAAGAACCTAGCAGGCTTAAGCTGCAGACAGCCATCTTTTCTAACATATGGAAACAGCATGTCTGAGAATAAACCCAAAATAAAGGAAAACAAAGAGCAAGGGGGAATAAAACCTTGTATAAAGATACCATTTGAGATTCAGCAGTTCCTGGACCCAGCATTTCCAGTCCTTTTTGTTTTGGGGTTTCCCCCCCTAGTTACATAAACCAATAAATTCCTATTTCATTTAAGCTTGTTTGAATAGGTTTCAAGAAACTGAAAGCATTCTAACATAGTCATCTACTTTTTCTCAAGAAACATCTGACTTCCTCCTACCACTAACCAATGTTTTTCTTATCCTTGAAGTTTGAAACCAACCACCTCTAGAGCATTGGTTCCTTTTTTTTTAATTAAATTTATTGGGGTACACTCGTTATAACATTATATGGATTTCAGATATACAACTTTATAGTATGTCTGTATATCCTATTGTATACTCAACACCCAAAGTCTAGTCTCCTCCTGCCACCATATATTTGTCCTGTATCCTCTTCATCTGCCCTTCATCCCTCTTCCCTCAGGTAACTGCCTGTATCTGCGAGCTTGGGGGAGAAGGGAGTTTGTTTTGTTTGTTCATGTGCTGCTTCTGTTTTATATCCCACATATGAATGAAATCATATAGTTCTTGTCCTCTTCCATCTGACTTACTTCACTCAGAACGATACTGTCAAGATCCATACATGTTGCAAATGGCAGTATTTCATCTTTTCATGGCTAAGTAGCATTCTGCTGTGAGTGTGTATGTGTATATAACACATCTTCTTTATTCGACTATCCATTGAAGGACATCTGAGTTGAAACACTGGTTCTTAGTCGCTTGGGGTCCACAGGCCCATTTGGGAACTTGATACATCCATGAACCATGTTTCCCTGGGGAAAATGCCCTCATCCACCCCAAATTATGCCTATTTTTCTCAGGGGCTCAGAGATCCCTCAAATCCTTCTACAAACACCTGATTTAGTAGCCCTGCCCTACACTTTACTATTAAAATATTCCATATTTGTGAGGCTTCTTCTTAGAAGCCTCAAACAACCATTGTTTATTTCTCCAGAATAGAATCTAAAGACGACTATACACAGAAGGAGCAGTGGTTATAGTGAATACAAGAAAAGAGAGAAACCGGACGAAGCTTTCAAACAAGTCATTCATTCATTCAAGAAATGTCTACTTCCGACAGGCCAGGCGAGCAGAACATGACTGTGAGTACTGCACCATCCCTGCCCTCCAAGGGTGTGATTCACTGGCTACAAACTGAATGCAGGCAGGTGATGCAAAGGTTACAATGTACAGAAAAGTAGCAACTACATGTTGCTAGTGAAGTTCGAGTAAGTTATTTCAACATTTTTAGGTGGTGATATAAGCAAAGACTTAGTATTAATAAGAAAATGTAATTATTTTTTGGCCTGCTTTGAAAATGATGCTCCCTTGGCTAACTGATCTGTTTATCTGGGTAAGTAACTAGAAATTCTTATTTTAGCTTTTGGTGCTATGAATAAATGTTGTATTAAAGAATATGGAGCAGATGTTTACAAGTAACACTTAAAATGCTGTGCCACTGAACTCCTAACAAAAACTTTACCACTAAGGGTATGGAGAGGGGGTAGGGGAAGTGGGCGAACGTCAAAGGGCACAAATTTTCAGCTAGAAGGTAAGTTGGGGATGAAATGCAGAGCAGCACAAAGACCACAGTTAGCAGTACTACTCTACTGCACATATGAAAGTTGCTAAGAAAATTCACACAAAAGTTCTCACCACAAAAAAAATATTTGTAACTATGGGAAGTGATGATATGTTAACCCACCTTACTCTGTAATCGTTTACATATGTGTGTGTGTGTGTGTGTATAAATTGTTACATTGTACACTGCATACCTTAAATTCACACAACACTATATGTCAATTATTTTTCAATAAAGCTGGGGGTAAAAAACAATTGTACCACTATTCTGCCTATTCAGAACACTTTTCTGACAGAGAGAAGAAACATCACACAGACACAAGACTTTGTGTCTACTTTGTTTCTTGGTGACCCAGTTTGGCTACAGAAGGGCATAAATAATCCATAACTGTTCAGCAGTCACTACTATATGCTTACTTTACAAGCATTACCTAGACCTACGTAGATGATTCAGTCTTCAAAATGCTTCACATTTTTTTGCAACTACTAAGACTTTGTAGCTATATCAATAATCTTAAGTAAATATGACAAAAGGAAAAGATCTATTTTTCCTCAAAGTTGTGTGACAGTTCTTGGATGGGCCAAGCTATTTATCACCAAATGGAAATCTTTTGGTTATGTAATCTC